GGGCTCCAAAATCACTGTGTACAGTGACTGGTCCATGAAATTGAAAGATGCTTGCTCCTTGGAAAAAAAGCTATGACAAGCCAAGACGGTATATTAAAAAGTAGAGACATTACTTTGCCAACAAAGGTGTGTATAGTCAAAGCTATGGTTTTTCCAGTAGTAATGTTTGGATGTGAGAGTTGAACTATAAAGAAGGCTAAGTGCTGAAGAATTGATGCTTTTGAATTATGGTGTTGGAGAAGACTCTTTGAGAGTCCAGTGGATTGCAAAGAGATCAAATCAGACAATCCTAAAGGAATTGATTAACCCTGAATATTCATTGAAAGGACTGATGCTGAAGCTGAAACTCCAATATTTTGGCCACCTTATGCAAAGAGCTGACTCATTGGAAAAGACCCTGATGCTGGGAAAGATTGAAGACAGGAGGAGAAGGGGATGACAGAGGATGAGATGGTTGGATGGTATCACCGACTCTATGGACATGAGTTTGAGTAAACTCTGGGAGTTGATGATGGACAGGGAGGTCTGGCATGCTGCAGTCCATGGGGTTGCAAAGAGTCGGACGTGAATGAATTTAACTGAACTAACTACCCAGAAGAACTTAAGTTTGAAGTTTTTCCCAAAAAAGCCTTGCTACTGGAGATAAATTTTATCTAAGTGACCCATTTAATACTGCAGGGCAAATATTTAATTACCAAACATGTCCTCTTATTATCTTGCAAATGAATTTCCTGTTCTTTGAAGCCCAAGGCCTCTGTTCCATTCCTTAGCTCGGGATGGCATATATACCTCATTTACTTTTCTTTGAACTTCTCATGTATGTGCAGTTCCAGTGTGTGCAAAATTAAATCTGATCTTTTCCTGTTAATCTGTTTCTTGTCAATTAAATTTTTAGGCCAGCCAGAAGAACCTAAAAGGGTAGAGAATTTTTTTTCCTTCCTGATAAACAGTAGCAGAATATGTCATCCTAAAATAGGCCTTTTTGACATAAGGATTATTTTCAATTGATTATTATTCAAACTGCACATTCACAGGAGAATCTCTGAAAGCAGGAGAATTTACTCTTTTGCGAGGGAGATTTACAATTTATAATGAAAGTGTCCATTTGTAGAAATATCTCCTTCACTGTACCAGGAAGAAAATGTGCATGTGCCTGCTCCGTTGCTAAGTCTGTCTGACTCTGCGACCCCATGGACTGTAGCCCACCAGGCTCCTCTCCATGGAATTCTCCAGGCAAGAATACTGGAATGGGTAGCCATTTCCTTCTCCAAGGGATATTCCTGACCCAGGGATTAAACTGTGTCTCCTGTATCGCAGGCAGATTCTTTACCACTGAGCTACCTGGGAAACCCCACCAGAAAGACAAGGGTGACTCTTAATTTCTAGAAATGTATCCACAGAGAAAGGAATGACTTAAATCTGCCTAACACTATTACCCTTGTTTTCTGTGCTTTCTTGATCACCTCCCATAACCACTGCTCCCCCAACATCTTCTTCTGCCTGAAGATGGTTTTAAGGTGGTGACTTGGCCATTTCCAAGAGTTTTCCTGGTTGTCTCCTAGGTGTACA